AAGCCTTGACATGGCCTAGATCGTATTCTGACCTAACGAATTTGGTTTTGGGATAAGGGTGGTAGTGAGGGTCTCACATAGAGAGAGTACCTCTAGAAAGCCGGTTCTCTTGAGACGGACCACTGATGATACGCACTGAGTGTTTAATTCAGCACGTGGCATCTTTAGATCCAGTGCCTCGCAATCAAGAGGAGGTGCAGAATAGTCCTTGGCCAGGGTCGATGGTTGGATAAGACGACACTCCACAGGGAGTCACCGTAGGCTCACCGAATTTACAATTAAATGAGATTACATTATGAACTCTATGATAACTTGACATTTGCATTGTGAATATATTCATAATAGATCATGTCTATATATATATATATATGTTGTTTTTGCTACGCTATTATCTTTTTCGTGATGATTGTATATTTTTAAATTTTGTTAATTAACTCCACTATGTTATTATTGCATAAGTTTTCAAACTGTATGAAGTGGTTAGTTTTTTTGGGTTTCTTGTATTCTATTGGGTTTTGCAGCTTACGACGTTTAATGCTAGGTGAAGAAAAAAGAGAAAATCTCAAGGAAGCTTTTGTCGAAGATGCCGAAGTTCAACCATGGTTAACTTTGAACTGTCTTAGCTTGGCCATTAACGCCTATCTAGCCCATCTTCTTGTCTATTTTGGTGAAATTTTATGTATTAACGTAACAATGTCCAGAGATTGGTGTAAGAAATCAAACATTTGGGGTTGTATTAAGATTAAGCTTTGGAACGTACTTCTTTAACTGTTATATCAAAACTTAATACTTAACCATGTTGAATTATTTATATTAATATATGATGCCCAAAAGTGGGGGTGTCACATGATCTATTTGAATATGATATAAATGAGAAGAGTATTTCCAATGTTTTATATTATAAGTATGATTTATTTATATGCGAATCTCATTCATTAACCTCTTTACTCTGATATTATTCTCTGGGCTTTCACACACTCCGTATTTATATATATGTAGATGAGCAGCGAGATGACCATTTCCAGTGATCTTGTGAAAAGATTACAGAGTTTTGTGAAGTCAGCCCAAGATGCCTAATGCATGAGGCTTTTGCCCTTTTGTCTTTTGTTTCGTTTTATTGGTTATGTTTGACCTTGTCTGTAAATAAGTTTTGAGTTTTGTACGTTAATGATCTTGAGAGTGGTGTTGGCATTATAACATCTTTCGTTTATGAATAGATGTGAATTATTAACTAAATAAGATGTTTGTGATATGCTATATATGCACAACTTATTGGACAAAATTTGTTAATCTGCTTTTGCTTTTGGCCCATTTATTATTAAATATTTTTGTTAATTCTGTCTTTGAGGCCGGGTAATCTGGGATTACTAGCCGGTTACGGTCTAAACCTCTAGAGTCGGGTTTAGGTTGTGGCAGATTCACTTTGCCCTTTCCTCCTATTTAAATCTTTTTTTTTTTTTGCTTTTCATTTTTGCATTTGTAATCGATGAAGATGCGTCTATGATTCACTCATTGTTTTGTTGTTATTTTATTGTATATGTGTAGGGGAGCAAGTGTATAAAAGTACGAAACATTGATTCGCTGAGCTTCTTACCTTTTAATCTCAATCCAATTCATGTGTCATCCAGCTAACCAACAATCTCATTACACCTCCTCAAACCCACCACAACCAACTCAGATCTACACTCCATATCTGTGGATCTGTTTTTTTTTTTTCCCTTTCTTCTTCTTCTTCTTTTTTATTTATTTATTTATTTGTATTTATTTTTTTAATGTTTTGGTGTTGTTGATTATTTGTTGTTAGATCTAACTCCAAAAGTCTTTTTTTTTAGCAGTTTTTTTTTTTGAATTATTGTTGGATGAAACTATTGCTTTCTTCGCTGCTTTCAAGCCATCGACTGGTCTCTCTCTCTCTCTCTCTCGTTTTGTGTTCAACAGATAGGTTAAAAATAATAAAAGTAGGTTTGCACAGATAAAACAATTTATCTATTTCATGTATACAATTTATCTTGTTTTATTTGTTTTGAACAGATAAAAAAATTAAATAGATAAAAAATTTAAACAGATAAATGATAGTTCTATGTTTCATGTATATATATATAGATTTGTGGAGTTGAGGAAGAAACAGATAGAGAGAGAAAAGAGAAGTAGGGAGAGGAACAAATAGAGAGAAAGTTAAAAATGATGTGAATTTGAACAAATAGAAAAAATAAGTTATAAAAATTCAACAGATAAGTTAAAAAATGAACAAATAAAAAAATATTTAAACAGATAGACCAAAAATTTGAACAGATAGTAAAAAAGTTTGAACATATAGAAAATAATTTAAAAAGATAGTCAAAAAAAGTTAACAGATAAAAAAAGTCAATAGATAAATTAAGGGGTAAAATTAGAAATAAAATGTCCTTCAAAACAAACAAAAAAATTTCTTGCCAAACTATTTTACAAGAGTGAAACTCTTACTAATAAAAAAAATATTCATTCGACTTAATACTTTAGACACTTCAAATTAGATTTATTACCAATTTTTTTTTCCCCCTTTTTTTTTCTTTCTTATGGTGGCTCAAATTGATATTCATTAGTTATAACGATCCACTTAAGCTTGTTTTAGGAAGTAGGAAAAAAAAAGTTAGTTTATTGACTTTTTTGACTATTTTTATTAAAAAAAAATATACACAAAATTAAAATAAAAAATAAAGAGATAATGTAACCTAAATAAACTAATAAATTAATACTAATAAAAAAAATATTCACTCGACTTAATACTTTAGACACTCCAAATTAGATTTATTACCAATTTTTTTTTCCCTTTTTTTTTGCTTTCTTATGGTGGCTCAAATTGATATTCATTAGTTATAACGATCCACTTAAGCTTGTTTTAGGAAGTAGGAAAAAAAAAGTTAGTTTATTGACTTTTTTGACTATTTTTATTAAAAAAAAATATACACAAAATTAAAATAAAAAATAAAGAGATAATGTAACCTAAATAAACTAATAAATTAATAAGTTGATTTTTATTTTTATTTTTTATATATTTCCAAAAAGGCTCTACTCATTTTTGTTGATTTTTTAATACACAGCTTGACACTAATCAAAATCATAGGGTGTGTTTGGTTTACTTTTGAGAAAGTGATTTTCAAAAAAAGTTTTGGGAAGAGAGTTTAGAAATTTTTTTAATTTATTTGGTTGTATATTTTGAAAGTAGTTTTAGAGTTTAGGAGTTTGAGATGATTTGATATTTTGTTGTAATTGAGTAGATGTGTATAAGAGAGAAAAAGTAATTGAAAATAAGATAGGAGAAAGAAAAAGTGACTAATTGATGTGTAAGAGAGAGAAAAGTGATTTTGAAATTTGTTTGAGAAATATCTCAAACCAAACACTTTTTTGAATTTTCTTTTCCAAAACTTCTCTCTCAAAACTAAACCAAACACACCCATAAATTCTCCTAAACAATGCACAAAATCACCAAATAATCACTTCCTTCTCTTTGAATTATTTTGATCAATCCACTTGGAACGCCACCACATATAACTTAGGCCTCGTTTGGTAAGTGACTTTTTTAGTTGAAAAGTCAAAAAATTACTAAAACAGCGAAAATGCCACCAACATATACCAAAAAGTCAAAAATTTCATTTTTATTCTACTTTTTGCACATTTTTTCGCAAAAAATCAAAAAATTATCCCAAACATACTAGTTTTTTTTACATCATATTTTAGCCAAAAAGTCAAACAGTTGTTAAAAAAATACATTCCCAAACGAAGCCTTAAGCTAGGTTTGGTTTTGATTTTTTGGCTAAAAAACACAAAAGACAAAATTGATTATATAAATTAATAAGATAAAATATGGCATTGAAATCATAATCATTACACTTTTTCTCTCACAAAATTCAAAAAAATGAAAAACAAAAATAAAATGAGGCTAAAAAAGCTTTGCTAAAATAGCAAAAAAATTAAAAAGTCAAACTATTTTAACTTTTTCCAAACGAACACGTTAGATGAACTGAAGTATGTAGTAGAAATTAGTTCCAAAAAAATAAAAAATAAAAAGTATGTAGTAGAAATGACATTGAATAATGTTATAGATTGTAAAAGTCCTATTAAAATGGGGTTGTTTGGGATATGTTATGTAAGTGCACTTTTTAAATTTTTTTTTTTTGACTAAAAAAGTAGTGCAAAAAATATATATATTTGAGATAATTTTTTAACTTTTTATGTAAACATGTGTAATAAAATATTGTAGTAAAATCAAAATAATCATTTTACCCTTGTTGACTTTTTGATTTTTAACTTTTTAATTTTTGTATAGTTAAATTCAAAAAACAAAATAATAATTTTACTTTCTAAGCTTCCCCATAAGTTTTCCCAAAATAATATGAATTTTTTGATTTTTTAAATAAATTTTTAACTTTTATAGATTATTCCAAACCAACTCATGTGAATGCCATATAAGGCCTATTTTGAAAAGTAGATTATAATCTACTTCTCAAATTATAACTTACTTTCTCCCTCACAAAAAAAAAATACTTATAAACAATTATAAACAATTTTTCATCAAAAAAAATTAATTATAATCATTTTCTTAAAATAACCTTAAATCTCACACAAGATATTTCATAAAAAGTTTAGTAAAACTTTTAAAATACCTAACAATTTTAATAACAATTTACATCACAAAGATAATACAGCCACTCACCGAACAACGCCTACCCAAATCTTTAATTTGTCCATCCTCTACTGCCAACGCGTACCCAAATCTTTAATTTGTCCATCCTCTACTGCCTGTTATTAGTCGCCTATTTTGACTTAAATCTGCCTTAACGGTGCACCTTCTGCATTAAATCCTTCCCCTAGATATTATCCAACGGGAACTAGCGATCTACGATTTCTCTCCTTCTCTTCACCTCGAAAATCACGTTGCCTTTTCATTCCCGTGGCATTCTCGTTATTACATCCACCAACCGAGGTCAATTTTACACGGTCAACGCCTTATATCCTCTCTCTGATCTGACCACGAAGCTCTCTTTTCCTCTCTCTCTCTCTCGCTCTGTCCGATTCTCTCTCTGTGTCTCTCTGTACTATCTCTTGAAAGAAAGAGAAACCATGGAAGACAAGGGCGCAACGTTCGAAGACGGCGTGACCAGCAATGGAAACGACGACAACAACAACCATGGATGGCAAAAGGTGACGTACGCCAAGCGCCAGAGGAAGGTTCCGGCGAATCAGTCGGATTCCGGCAAGGGTTTGACCAACGGATCCGACGCCGCCGGCGGATCCGATAAGGTTTTCTCGTCGCTCGAGAAACATTCGGAGGAGCGTCGCGGGCGATTAGAGGCTCAGAGAGCGGCGATCGCTTTGCAATCGGAGGTGCCTGTGAGATCGAAGCTCCGATCCGACGATGAAGGTGATGATAGCGATTTCGAAGGAGCTAGTGAGGTTGTTGAGAATGGAGCTGCTAATGAGAAGAAGGCAAAGGTAAAGAAACCTAAGAAACCGAAAGTCACGGTTGCGGAAGCGGCGGCGCAGATCGATGCGGTTGATCTGGCGGCGTTTCTGGTTGAAGTATCGGTGAGTTTGTTCGATTTTGTGAATTTTGATTGTGTTCTATGTGATTTGGTTTGAGGTAGTTGATAATTCATTGTGTGCATCGTTAACAAGATCATATTTTTTTTTGTAAATTTCTTGTAGGGGTTGTATGAATCGCAACACGATATACAGCTGATGCGGTTTGCGGATTATTTTGGTCGCACATTTTCGGCTGTGAGTGCATCTCAATTTCCATGGACTAAGTTGTTCAGGGAGTCAACCGTTGCAAAGATTGCTGATGTGAGTTTGCCTCTAATTGTTTCATTTTGCTTTGTTTTTTTTAATTCCTTAGAGATTCTTTGCGTAATAATTTGAAATGATTTGTGTTTTGAAATCCAATGCCTGCAATAATTTAGTACTCTACAATAACCCAAATGTGCTATCATGCCATGTTATTATGTTGAAATGGGGCATAGCCACTTGATGATTTGTGAACTGATTCGGTGTTGCAAAGATAACTATTTCTCATTTATGTTTTAATATGCTTGTAACATGAAGGCCATCAATATGAATGCAAAAAAAAAAAAATTTGTTGCAATATAACTGACAGATGGAAGTAAGAAATTTAGATGTTTTTGCTAAGGAATAATACGTTCAAGATAAGTTGAACTCTGAAAAATTCTGAACCTTTTTTTGGAAGGCTGAAAATTCTGAACATTTTTTTGACAAGTATTATCGATTATTTTTAAAGATACATAGGAAGCGTTTAGTAAAACTTTCTAAATATGATTTGAGAGTAAGGCTTTGTTTGGCATGATCTAAAAAAGTCAAAAAGTCAAAAAATCACTGTCCTATATTTAAGTCACATCATCTTATTTAAATCGCATCACTTCTCTAACACATCACTTCAAACCCAATCCATACTCAACCCATATTTCATAAAAAATTAAAAAGTGCACTTATTTAGATCATCCTAAACCACCCTTAAGAGTTGTATTTTTTAATTTGTGAGTTTTTGAATTATGATTTGAGTGTGAAAAATTTGTTTGGTGAAAGAGTTTTGAAAAGAGTTTTGAATTGAGTAGGAAATTTTTGATGTGACATATGATATTTGATACAAAAACTTATAACTCATAACCAAACACACAACCCAAAATTCTATTAAAGCTCGTAAAAAAATTTTAAAAATTTGAAAAATATTTTTTTCGAACATATAAAAATTAACATGTGTCAATTGCAAAAAAAAAAAATATATATATTTGTACTGTTCTGGTCAACTGGCCGGTCAACCAGTGAAGCATCCGGTGGGACGACCGGTTAGGCCAAATTTCAAAAAAAAAAAAAAATTGAAAATGGCGCCTAACACAGAGTTTTCTGTTTTTTGTGGAAATATAGTTTGAAAACCCTATCCAAACATGATATTAGAATGCGTGGGTAGAATTACAGTTTGAAAATCCTTCCAAACACAACCATAATTTTCACATAGGTGGTGTTTGGGTTTTTGATGTGACATATGATATTTGATACAAAAACTTATAACTCATAACCAAACACACAACTCAAAATTCTATTAAAGCTCGTAAAAAAATTTTAAAAATTTGAAAAATATTTTTTTCGAACATATAAAAATTAACATGTGTGTCAATTGCAAAAAAAAAATATATATATTTGTACTGTTCTGGTCAACTGGCCGGTCAATCAGTGAAGCATCCGGTGGGACGACCGGTTAGGCCAAATTTCAAAAAAAAAAAAAATTGAAAATGGCGCCTAACACAGAGTTTTTTGTTTTTTGTGGAAATATAGTTTGAAAACCCTATCCAAACATGATATTAGAATGTGTGGGTAGAATTACAGTTTGAAAATCCTTCCAAACACAACCATAATTTTCACATAGAATTCCTCTTTAAAATGACGTGACTGACAATGTAGAGCTTTCTAAATTACAGTCCATGTTCATTTTTTTTTTTTTTTTTTCATGGTATTTTATTTTAAAGTGATAGGCCCTAAGTATTCATTTCACTCTTGTAGAAATTCTATTTGATATTTCTGGTTGTATGACATTTACTCCATTGTCCAATGTTTGATGCCTGATGGCCATCCTAATCATTTGATAAGTGAAGCGAAGCGTAGAGCATTGCTTGCTTGTGGTCAATAGCACTTGCTTTTATTGAAATGCAAGGTTGGATTTTGTATCCCAAGATATGTTGAGCCTGAATTGAACACAATATTGTTCATATTTCGTAGCTCAAACTTCAAGCATGCATGATAAAATGTGTATCTTAAAATCATGATCCTATATGACTGTTATGACTTTTTCATGGTTTATCATCCCAATTATATTGTTTTTATGTTTCTTTTTGTTTTTTTCTTTTCTTGATTCTTTGTTTTTGGTTTTTGAATTTCTCTTTTATTGACCTAAGCATAATAAGTTCTTTATTTTCAACAGATCCCTATTATTCATATTTCTGAAGATGTTTATAAGACATCAGTTTATTGGATCAACCAACAACCCTCTGAGGCACTTCAGTCCTTTGCATTGTGGTCATTAGATAGCATTCTTGCTAACTTAGGAAGCCAACAAGCAAGTGTTAAAGGCTCCAAAAAGGGTGCACCATCAACTTCATTAAAATCTCAGGTAATTTGTTGAATATGATACTTTCTTGAGGAGCTTCTTCAGATATGATGCTGTTGATAAGTGATGATTCTACTTTGTTTAGGTTGTTTTAGAATTATTGCGTGGAATTCTTTGTCTTTATTTTGTTTATGTACTAATAAATGTGCATTATGCAAGTATCAGCCTGGCATATGTGAGAGCATTTAGGACATGGGAACTATCTTTGCATTATGTATTAGTCTATCTCTTATTTTTAATTTGTATTTCGAGAAGGGGAGCAAATAAGTTCATGAGTTATTTTATTTTGCTAAGTGTGGGTTTTGGAAGTTGGATTTTTAACTGACACATTCCCCTCCTTTTACCATCATTGGATTTTAGAAAGGTGTAGGACCTGTGTCTTAGGCCATTTGTAATTTATATTATAATTGTGGAAGGAGATACACTTCATTAATTCAGTAGCATCAATTAAAACAACTGGCCCATGAATGTGTTTACAGTTTAATTGAGGGTACTGTCCCCAGCTGATTTGGCTTATAGCTTTGTGGTATTTCTGCCGTTGTGGAATTGTGATCTTTTACCCCAATTAAAATTGGCATTCTTTTTCTTGCATCTTGTTACGTGATGGGTCTGCTTGTTTCCAGTGAAACTGAGGAATTTAGAGGGGAACTTTTTCTTATTTTGTTTGACGAGTGTTGAGGAAGAGTAGGTTGATGTTATTTGGATGAATCTTGTTTTGGTATAGGTCTTGTGTGGTTTGTTTTTACTTGGGGGTTGCAATCTTTTTTTCCTTCTTTTTTAAATGCAGTATTTTTCTGAAAAAAACTTTTCAAAGTTGATTGGTGTTTGAGTGATGTGTCTGAAACAGTGTTACCAGAAACACTAATGGTGCAACGATTTAAGTTTTGCAACACAGTACACTTTTGTTTCCAATTAATGAATTTAGCGATCTGAAGTGATCTCAAAAATATTTTGTTGATACAAACCATAAACTCATTGTAGAGTCCTAATTTTATGACTATTTAGGTTAGGTATGGATTTTTTCTGTTCTCTGTGGTTTTAATGTTTCATAGGCTAGGGATATTGTGTAATTTCAATTTCTTTTGGATATTGTCTTTAGTCCTTGACTGTAGATTGTGACTTGCATCATTTTATTGGGTATAGTTTTTAATTGGTTTAGGTGGGTTTGAAAAAAAATTAAATGTGTTAATATATTATTTTTGAGTCAACCATTTTTAGGAGTCTTTGGAAGTCTATAAAGATGATGTTTTTATTTAATTCACTAAAGAAGTTTTAGAGAAACTTTGCAACATTATACTCTTTGAGGATTTTGCAATAAAATTCTAATCATAGATATGATGCACACAGGCCTTTTGATGCGGTGCATGGATTCTTCTTGTTTCTTCTTCGCTATATTAGATTTTTCTCTTTTTTGAACTTCGTATCCTCCTAATGAGATTTGAGTCACCTTTTAGGTTTTATGTTTAAGCCCTATTTTACTGGCTTAGCCTATTATTCCTTCAACCAATCAACCATGGTAATAACTTAAAAAAGCTACTAGTGCTGCTTACCGATGTTGTTCACAACATTGAAAACAGTCCAGAATATATATATATAAATTTGTTTTTTTCTAACCTTATTTTACTGCAAAGTGCAAACGTTTTCTCTTCTATTATCCCCATACGAACTATAAAAGCTCCATCTTTGTACCAACCTTATGTCCACAAAAGCTATAAAGCCCTTCACTGCTCACTGCTACCCTATATTGGATCCTGGCTTGTGGGAGAGTGCACATTGCATTTGTCCTACATCAGTTAGACCCAATAACATAACCCAAAAAACAACCAGTGGATGATTCACTACTACAAGTCCGTGGAATCTGAAAAATTAATAAAATAATTATCATTCCTAGTGGAACATAAATGAAACTCTATCAGCAGTGGACTAATCTACGTTGATCATGAATATCAACTTTAGTTTAGCCCAAAACTTTTTTGCACATGGACTACAGAGCTCCCTGTCAAATTCTCTGTATATACCCATTTTCTAGTTGACATTCTCTTCTCAGACGATAATTTTGGTATATCATTCAAGAATCACTTTGTTTGTAGGTCACCTCCATCACAGCTCATGTTCTCAGTTCTCTTCCATGAGGTGTATTTTTCTTTCTCACTGTTTAAAACTGTCAGATAGTTTCCCCCTTGTTTGGTTGATGTTCAGGTTTAGGGATGGTTGGTTTTGAATTTGATGTTTGCAGAAAGATTGGGGTATGTCAGGCGTATAATATAGACATTGGAATGGATTGAATTCTGGACCATTTGGAGAGGGAAAATAAATATTATGGACAAGATGGCCTTGCGGGATATTGTGTCTTTATGCAGATGAGGATGGTTTTAGAGAGATTATATTGAAGATTGTGTCGGGGGGTTTACTCCCTTGATTCTTGCTTTAAACGAATTTTGATTTAAGTTTGTGGGTGCCTGTTGCTGGTAGCTTCTTTGGATTTGATATTCCAATGAAAAAGGTGGATTTCAACTCCTGATACGTTAGCAGATCCTTTTATTCAATATATGGAGACATGTTTCAGATCCTCTGATGGGTAAAATGGAAATAAGTTTAGTGGTCATATGGTTAGCTATTTTGAAAAGTTGACATGCCACTCAAGTAACCAGAGTGTAGAGGTAGAGCGAGAGTGCAGAAGCACCAATTTAGAAGATTAAGAGCACCCTAAGAGCAGTGAGTTTAAAAGGTACGTGTATGCTAAATTCTGTCATAATTTGCATTTTCATAAGATCTGGTTTACCAGTGTACTCAGTAAAAAGGGATGTTATTGGAGGCATTCCCCCGTATGTGTGTTGGTCAGTTTAATTGCATTTTGTTTACCAGGGAAAGAAAGGAAAAAGGAAATAGTGACACATTCAAAGCTCCATTTAACAAAGTCTTTAAGTGGCTTTAATGGTTGGTTATTATAATATGAAAGTAAGTGAGAGTCTCATATTCAAGTTCTTGGGAGAGAAAAATAACAATAAGTCACATAGGACCAAATACAAAATGGGACACAAATGTCTCATAAGAGGTGGGGCCCACATGTGGATCCACCCTTTGTGAGACATCTGTTTATGTTCCTAGCATTTCTGGAAAAAAAAAAAAAACAAAAATCATTTGCTTTTTTTTGGTGTTGGGGGGGGGGGGGGGGATTTTTTGTTTTTTTTTGGGCATCCTGATTATACTGCCCACAAGCTGGTTAAATATGCAATACTGAATGCAAAACTTGGATGGTGGTCATTTTTTCTTTCAAATCACAATTATGCAGTGTGGGAAGACAGTCTGGCCCTCTCCACAGTGATGCTGAGGTCAGAAAGCACTGGCTTGTTACCTAAATATTAATGTCTTAATTTGCTAATTTTTTCTTATCGTCCTCCAGTAATGGTCTGACTTGGTTCACCTGTCATGTCTTTCAGTTTTTGTCACTATACCCAGGACATCTCTCTATTGTTTTTGTTTTGGTTTCTATGAAAAATGCTAGACCCCAAAATCTTTACCAAAATTTCTACTAAATGTGTTATACCCAAAATTTTTACCAAAATTTCGCTTAATTGTTTGCTGATAAGCAATTCAAGTGTTCTTGAACTGGCAGGTTGCTATATTTACAGTTTTAGCTATGGTCTTACGACGGAAGCCTGATGTTTTGATTGGTATATTGCCAACATTGAGGGAAAATTCTAAGTTTCAAGGACCAGATAAGCTTCCAGTCATTGTATGGATTATAGTTCAGGTGAGCGAGTGTATAATGTTAAACGCATTGGATATTTAGTTACAGAAAAAAGAAAAGGAAAAAGAGAATCTAATGCCATTAGATGATGTTCGTGTGTAGGCCTGTCAAGGAGATCTTACTGTAGGGTTGTATGCGTGGGCACACAACCTCTTGCCTATAGTTGGTGGCAAATCAAATTGTAATCCGCAATCCAGAGATTTGATTTTACAGTTGGTGGAAAGGTTTGGAACCATTTAGTCTCCTGATATCATTTTCACTACTTCCATATCTTCTGTTAATTTGATTATTTTTTTGTTTAATTGCAGAATTTTGTCTGTCCCCAAAGCTCGTACCATTTTGGTAAATGGAGCTGTCAAAAGAGGGGAGCGTCTGTTGCCACCTTCGGCCTTTGACTTGTTGATGCGGGTGACGTTCCCTGCCTCCTCTGCTCGAATAAAGGTGGGTACTTTCAATTTCAGTTGTTTGATCATTTATTGAATCTTTTGGTAATAGCAGTTTCTGTTAAATATTCGAAGTGATTAGTATCCTGACCTTTCATTGTGGTACTTTTTGCAGGCAACTGAAAGGTTTGAGGCAGTATATCCTGCTCTCAAAGAGGTGGCTCTTGCTGGTTCTACTGGAAGCAAAGCCATGAAACTAGTTTCACAGCAAATAATGACTCTTGTACTGAAAGCAGCTGGAGAAGGTATTTTTGAACTTGAACTGCCTGCCTTTTCATCTCTGTTGCTTGTTCTGTATAATTAGTTTTAGGATAAATTGCACTTTAACCCCTCAAATATAGGATCTTATCAGTTTGCGCCCTCAACTAAAAATTGTTACACTTGACCCCCTTGATCTTTTGATTTGTTTCAAGCTCAACTTTCTATTAACATTCTCTATTATGAGAGATGGCAAACAATTGGCATGTGAATTGCCATGCCAATTTTATGATCAAAATACTCATTGCTGATTTATTTATATGTGAGAAATATGTATATGTATCTTCAAATCTTATGAAAAAAATGTGAAGAAAAAAATAATATATATAATATTATATAGGGTTTGGCTTCTCTCAACTTGTCATCTCAACTTGAGAGAGCGTTTGGGCTTGATAGGCCTATTTTGGACCAATTTCGATGATCCCAACCGTTCACTTTTTAGAACTCGTTGGGTAGAATATTCATGCAAAACATCAATATGATTGAACATTGGTAGCTATATATGTTTGAATCATATTTGTTTTAAAAAAATAAATGACAAATATAATTTTAAAAATAGCCATCCAATTTTTGTAATACAAATTTGATTCAAACATATAGTTAACGATGTCCAATCATTTTAATTTTTTATATGAATATTCTGCGTAATGAGAGAAGCCCAAATGCTCTCTCATGTTGAGATGGCCAACATGAGAGAAGCCCAACCCTTATATATATATGCACATGCCATTTTTATGACTAGACAGGGAAATACATATATGACATATATGTATGTAAACACATAACACACAACACATGTATGTAAACCACTGCTTGAATGAACATTTTTCTTTTACAATTTCATTATAAATTCAGTCTGAGATTGAACCATTTGCAGGCAACCCTGAGCTGTCCAAGGAAGCAACGGGCATTTTTATCTGGTGCTTGACACAAAACCCTGATTGTTACAAGCAGTGGGTGAGTTCGTTAATTGATATATGCACTTTGAACCTTATGAAAGTTGTCTTTTCCATTTATTTTTCAAGGGTTGGGAATAAAATCTCTTCTGCTGTAAATTTAATGTAAACAGGACAAGATCTATATTGAAAAAGTAGACGTGAGTGTTTCTATTCTGAGAAAGCTTGCCGAGGAATGGAAGGAGTTTTCTGTGAAGCAGTCTTCTCTTGATGCTCTGAGAGAAACCCTCAAGAGTTTCAGGCACAAGGTACTCTCTCTCTCTCTCTTTCTGTGTTTCACTGTTCCTCTCTGTTGTTTGTGGCATATAACAGATGCCCACTCACGATTAATCATTGCATATAGTATCTCCACTCGAGGAGGGTTCCCAATAGATCTCCTTGTTGAAGTTGAGAAAGTTCTTGCAAGGCTAACTGATAATGATCAAGATTCATTCCATGATGGCAATCAAGATCATCCAATCTACCAGGTTGATCTTCGTCAGTATGCATGGCATAGAAACCTAATCATTATTAGTTAGCGTTGCAATGCAAGGACTTTCCTCAACTTCAACAAGAATGTCTGGTGGAACCACTATTTCTTGATGGTCATGTGAAGCCTTTTATGTAAGAAAAAATGTAGAAATACATAAACTGATTACAGAATCAGACACAACCTTAGTCCCACCTTTTTGTGGGTCCCACACCCATGCAAGAAAGTTGTCTGATGTGCAAGTAGCACTGTTATATCAACAAAAGGACTGAGGAAACAAGATTAAAACATCATCTGCACATATATGCGCATCATGTGATGTGATTCTTCCAGCAATTGTTTTTTTTTTCCGTCTTGTAGAATGAGGAAGCGTTGGCTGGTGGAGAGGATACTGCTCGTCAATCGCTCTTCAAGGATGCAGACAAGTACTGTAAGCTGATATTGGGAAGGCTATCACGTGGCCGTGGGTGTTTGAAAAGCATGGTCTTTGTTATCATTGCATTCGGTGTCGGTGCTGCTGTCATGTCCCCAAGCATGGAGTCCTGGGACTGGAACAAATTATCTGTATTGTTCTCTCAGCAATCCTTCCGAGTGTAACAAGTTCTGCTTTTCAGCAATATTCGGCATAGACAAAGTAATCAGATTTGCCCCCATAATAAAGCGGCATAGAATCAGGTACCGTTTGTATACTTTTATGAGCCTCGATGGTATACTGAAATTAGAAATAGTTTCAAGCACTACTGCAAGAAGAAAGAAAGTATCAATGCCGGCAATTGTTCTGCTTTTTTTCGCCTTCAGGTGTGGAAATCCCCTTGTAAGTCAAAATTTTCAATACCTCCAAACTAATTTTATAGAGATGGATGCATGTGTATTCTGGGATTAATGCTGCTTGAATCCAAAACGGATTTGATGAGATAGCTTTTATTTTGTTTTTGTTTTTGTTTTTTTTTTGTTTAGATATTTAAGTTCTAATTTATTTTTATTTTTTTTGGTCCTGGATTTTGATTGAATTGGATATTGGTAATGGGGGTGGGGCTTTATTTGAATTGATATAATTCTGTTATGATTTTGTTCGAGTGACCATGTTTGAGTGTCTGGTTTTTTCTGGGAAGCAGGCGTTGCTTGTGTTTGATTTTATTTCATTTTTTGAAAAACATAGAAAACTCGTTTGGCGAATATTTCTGGAAAACAGTTTATTCAGAACTAAGCACTAATAAGTAAATTTATACAAAATTAGAAACAACATGAAAATGATGGATGTAATCAATTATTATTATTATTATTATTATTTTGTTTCTAAAATTACAAAAATGAAAACAAAATCAGAACCAATTAACTTTATAATTTGTTGTAATAAATTTCGTCTTGAAGTTGCATGATGATGAATCATCGAAGCAAGTTATTCGTAATCATCAGGGGTAGCCCAAGGATATTTACGGTATGAGTTTCGGACTTTGGAAGGATCTTCAGGTGTAGACCATGGATACTTCATTGATGGATCCCTTGGGAATTTTCTGAAGTTCAGAAATGGTGCCCAAAGCATCACACTGGAAATGGGGGGAAAAATACAATTGATCAAATGAACTTTGAATAAACAACGATTAAAATCAGAGCTCAATCTAAAATTCCAAATCAAATATAATCAGTAAAAAACCGAAAAGCATCTATAAGGATTTCATTAGAATTGAATCTCAAATTTTACCTTTCGTTTTACTTGTCAATTTTTTTTATTTTTTATTATTTATTTTTTTTCATTGAGCTTCTGTTTTTTATTTCTTCTTCACAATCAGGTGCATTATTGTCATAATCATGAATCAACTTGCATCAACATGACTGTCCAGCTGATTCCAATCCACATTGCATAAAATGAACTCTCTGCAAGTTTGGGTTTTTGTTTTAGTTAACGAGTAAACTCTCCAAATCTGTCCTCTATTGATTTCGGAATCAACTACCTAATGTCGATTTAACCTGAGTAACACGAGGGGCAACCTTTGAGTGTGTTCAGACTCTACAACGTACATACTATTTAAGTTAGAGAGTACAATTGCTAGGATTTGATCCCACACCCAAACCCTGAATACGGTTTGTACAACACTTGCGTTGTATTTGGTCGGGGATTTGGGAAAGAAATTGGAAAGGAAAAAGAAATGTGAAATGTGAATAAAATATATTTATATTTCACCTAGTTTCACATATTTTTTTCCTGTCATTTTTCAAATCCCAAATGTGAATAAAATATATTTATATTTCACTTAGTTTCACATATTATTTTGCTCTTTTTTTTTTTAAATATCTTCTCAAATCACTTAACCAAACACAGCATTAGAGGACCGTTGTAGGACCACTGCACCAAACTCTTGGGAGTTGACTTTGAAGAGTATAGAAGCTGAGATCTTAAGGCTTATATCCCAAAATCTTACCAAAGTGCCCCCAACTCCTCATATTTTCTCCAAATTTGGTTGTTTTCACTCTTGAGAACTTTGACCGATAGTCCACTTATGTCTAGATCCCAATAGCCAGTGTCATCATTATTAAGGTTTGAATCACAGCTATATGATTTAGTTTTTCATTCATTTATTCTCTCTAACTGATTGTATGAAAAAATTATTTTGCATGTGAACTTTAACATTGTGCATTACTTTGGATGATAGGCATTACAAGTTAAGCTAGGTGCGACTTTACTCACTTGGAAATTATGTGTAACATAATCTTCATTCCACAAAATTAACAACTATATGGTCAAAATAGATGGCCAAACTACTCCAAAGGATTAGTTGAGTGATAAAGTTGAGCCATGATAATATCTTTTGTGCACTCCTAGGGGTAAAGTGTAGTTTGTGCTCGATAATTATGCGTGTTTGACAACTTGACTTTTTCCGTGGCTATTGATATTTTAATTTTTTTATGAGGTAATGTTTGGAATTTATTTTTTATTTTTTTAGGCTTGGTTTGAAAACATGCTATTTGAGTAATTTTTTTAATTTTTTTACTAAAATATGAGGTAAAAACACTAGTATATTTGGGATGATTTTTTGGTTTTTTATAAAAAAAAAAAAAGTGCAAAAATTAGTTTCTTTTTGTTTGTTTGTTTGTTTGTTTGTTAACTTTTTGACCTTTTTTTTAATGATTTTTTAACTTTTAAACTAAACTAAATGGTTGCCAAACGGAACTTAGTTGAATAGATAGTTGTGAAAAAAAAAAAGTAGATGACTGATGTGTGCAATGTGACATTTTAATTTTTTTTAATTGTTTTGACATTTTTATGGTTTTTTTTTTTTTTACTATGTTAGCCAAAAGGTTGGCTGCCAATTGGGTGAAATGGGAGGACTAAATGTACTCCAAGACTAGTTAAGACAATCTTGAATACCCTTGTTACCAAAAACGAAAGAAGGTATCAAGGTATCAAGTTAGGCTACACAGGGAAGTGGCTAAAAAGAAAAGAAGTTATCAAGATAGGAGGACTATATGTACTGGAGGAGTAGTAATCAAGTTAGGATCGTTTGGCCTGACAATTGAAGATGATTTAGAGCATCAACAATGCACATGTTGGTATTGCATTTTACACACACATTTATGTATACTCAAGTGAATCCTACTCTTATTTTAAGACACCCTTAACGTTTTCATTGTATAACCTACGTGCACACATTTTTTTTTTTTTGGTCAAAGATAAAATGTTAGTATGTTAATAAATTTAAGTTACAATTTAAAGAGACCGCCGCTGATCTATCAACTCGAACTCTAGACTTTTCACGTATCACCGCACCCTAAGACACGGCTACATGCCACTTGACAATTTATATATATATATATATATATATTACCATATAACACGTAATTTTGACTAATCATAGTGGATGCTCTTAGATATTGTTCTTGTGTGGTCATCCTCAGCCAGTGCTATTAGTGGCAGCCAAATATGGTCGAGGTTTAATATATATTTTTTTATGGTTAGTAAATTTCCTTTTAATTATTCTTGCTAGTGGATTTGCATAATAACATCTATGAATTTAAATGAGAAAGTCTAATCTCAATCTAAAATTTTGATTGCCAAATTTCGAATATTTAGCCAAATCAATTGAGGTGGGATAATCTGTTGGGGAATTTTCAAAATGTTTTTAAAAATTTATAGTTTTGTTTTTTGGATGTTTTCAAAACCTTCCTTATTTTTCTTTGGAAAGCATTAATTAAGTTTGGGGACTTTGTCCCACATCGGAAACAGAGGAGAACATAGAACACTTAATAAAGTGCTACATGAAATATTTCTTTGAATATGAAATTGTGGGATGAAAGCTAGAGCGCGCGTGGCGTGGGCTGTGTGGCGTTTGATGGCGCACTTTGCACTTAACACGGATGCATCGGCGCAAGTCGCCATGAGGGCGCTTTCCTATTTGCATCGGACAGGTTGGAACGATGACATGGATCTGACGTGGCATGAGTGACGTGGAATATAGTCAACTCCACGTGGCAATGACGTGTCGTCCGTTGGCGATGAGTCAACCAACCGATCAAACGGTTGTGATAGCCGTTGATTGGTGATGTACACGATTGTACGGATGAGATGGCACCCGATCATGATCAGGTGTGATTAGTCAAGGCACCTATTCGATGTCAGAATGATCTGCACCATAGATCGTCAATCCAACGGTCAGATCTGATCAAATGCGATCAAGGGACATGACCATTTGATCAGATCCATCAAGGCCTATAAATAGGCTACGAAATCATCCATTTCATATCATCCAAAATCCTAAAAAAGCATTCGGTTATTCCTGCAATTATATCTCTCTCTCTCTCTCTCTCTCTCTTCCTCTTGATTTTGACTTTTCGATCAAGAGTTTCTTAAGCAAATCTCTGTTTTTCTTATTGATAATCAAGTTTTGCAGATTTGATTATCAGTATCTTGGTTTTCTTGATTATATCGAGAGTATTCTGATCTATTGTCGTCAGTGCAGACGCTAATAGACTAGATCTTTAGATCAGGCTTTATTACATCTTGGAGGCAAATTTGTTATAACCCCCTGCATAGCTTTTGGTGGGTACAAATATTGTCTTTAGGAAAGCGACTTAGTAATGCGACTTGAAGCACTAATTTTTTATTCTATATAGACAAGATCATTGCCAAATTTTGAAGAGCCGAAGACCATTATTTCAAGAATTCAAGACCCTTTGTTCCAACAATCTAAAGACAAAATTTAGATATGCCGATGTCTATTCAGAAAATGACTCAAGATTTCATGAAGCTTGATCGTTTTGATGGAGGAAATTTCTGACACTGGCAAAAGAAGATGCACTTTTTGCTCACCACTCTCAAAGTGGTCTATGTGCTAACTACCCCTTATCCAACAGAGCAAGAAGACGAGACTTTGGAGCAAACCTGTGCCAGAACCAAATGGGAGAATGGCGACTACATTTGCCGAGGACACATTCTGAATGCACTGTCAGACTCTCTATTCGATGTGTATCAACATCTGGAAACAACAAAGCAACTCTGGGACTTATTACAGTCAAAGTACCTCACCGAGGATGCCACCAGTAAGAAATTTCTTGTTAGTAATTTTATGCGTTTTACAATGATTGATACAAAGCCCATTATGGAACAATTCCATGAGATCCACCATATTCTGAGTCAATTTCGACAAAAGAATATGAACATGGATGAATCTATTGTAGTTTCATCTATAATAGAGAAACTGTCATCTTCTTGGAAGGATTTTAAGAAAACTTTAAAACACAAAAAAGAAGATCTTACTTTAGAGGAATTGGCTCAGCACCTCCGAGTTGAGGAAGAGTCAAGGTTACTTGGAAGTAAAGATAACCAATTGGCTTAGACGTCCAAGATTCACATGGTGGATGATGGTAAGAGGTTCAACAAAAAGAAGCGTAAGCATGAACCCTAACCCAAGAAAAATTCTACGAAGCTGAAAGGCGCTTGCTGACACTGTGGCAAGCCAAGGCACTTTAGAAATGAAAGTCGGTTATACAAGAAAAAGCCAGAAGCATCAAATGCCAAGAACAAGTTCGTGGTAGTTGTATCCGAGGTGAACATGCTCGAAGATGCTGGTGACTGGTGGATTGACTCAGGAGCAACAAGGAACGTCTACAACGACAAGAGTCATTTCACTACTTATGAACAAGTGAGTGATGGAACAGTTCTCTACATAGGCAGCTCTTCAACTGCTGCTATCAAAGACAAAGGGATGGTGGATCTAGAGTTTACATCTGGAAAAGTCCTAAGTCTTAATGATGTTTATCATGTACCTAATGTTAGGAAAAACCTTGTATCTGGAAGCCTGCTTAATAAGCATGGTTTCAAGTTAGTATTTGAGTCGGACAAATTTCTCCTGTCTGAGGGTGGGATTTTTGTTGGAAGGGGCTACATGTACAAGGAATGTTCAAACTTAACGTTATCAATAATACTTATTTCTGCTTATATTGTTGATTCTCTTTCTTTATGGCATGCTTGTTTAGGTCATGTTAATACTAGGAAAATGCATAATAGTAATTTAGATTTAATTCCTAAGTATAATATTGATATGTTTGAAAA